TAAATTAATCGATCAAAAAATATATCCTATAAACAAAAAAGTTTTAATTATTGGGACAATTTTTTGAGTCAGTGTAATCAGCCATTCAGTATATGGACATAGGGGCAAAGTTATTTTCATTTTGTTTGGTTTTTTTTTAAAAAAAAAAAAATTCACAGTCTTATTATAAGATCAAAGTAATCTTCATTGCGAGATGATATATACATTGTGTATTTGCTACCATTGTAATGGTGATTTTATTACGGAGATTGAAAATTTGAAGGTTAGATATAATTACGATCAATTAAAGTATGAAAAGTATACATTATTAAAAAAAAAAAAAAAAAAAGATAAAATGTCCATTGTAAAAAAAAAAAAAAAAAAAAAAAAAAAAAAATTAAAATTAAAAATTAGAAGTTCGAGTTGTTGTAAAATTAAAGTCTCATTATTTTAAAATCCACATTGTTACCAAAAGTTCACGATTAAATTACGCCGGCAAACCAATTTGGCAAAATATTTTTAACCTTATCCCTGTTCACCTCAATCATCCTTTCGTTGTCCACTCGACCAATAGAATGACAACTACCAGTGAGATGCCTGCATATAGCGTCGTATTGATATAACTTTGTTGATTTCCAACAAAGTTTGCATGCGAATAACTCTTTATCATCATCACAAAACTGTTTCCTTACTAAATTGAGGCATCCTTTGACGGTGGTAAAAGGTCCCGGGCGATTGATCTGCGACTGTCTAACCATCCTTCGAGCCTCTCTACGAAGCCTTGGAACCAAGATTTGAACTATAAATTCGTCCGCCCATGGAATTAACGGGTCATTGTTGGTGAATGGTGGATCGCGGAATGAAGGGCACCAATGGAGACAATCTATGATGGGATCTGACAGATAAATTTGATATCCATTCTCTGGAGGTACCTTCAAATCTGTGGCAAGAGTATCATGCGAGGTGACCAGCGATAGAATCTTGTTGGTAATTTGTTCAAGCCTTACAGTTTTTTTCATTAACTCCGAGTACTCTGATTTCATTCTTACAATAAATGTTGGCCAGGGGTTTGTCATGAACGGAGTTCTATAGGCCTCCTTCGCTTCAATATAAGAAGGCAACCGAACAATATATTTTTCATGATATGGTTTTTGTCCTTTTTCATCCTTGATATTCTTAAATTCTTCGACCAATGTTTTGAATATTTTTAAATCTTCCAATGATCTTTTCTTACAATGCAATTCATCAAGCCTTTCACGTTTTTGAACGTTTGCCAGTACTTGTGATACCCATAATCTTTTCTTGAGCATCCAGTTGGCTCGGTGTTTGGGTGGGGTAGAAGCCAATTCTCTGTGGGCAGCCTCTAATTGCGAGTTCATAAAAGTCACTACTTTCGCGCCAGTGCTGGAAATGGAGGCGGGAACTTTCTCATAAGGTACAATCGTCGTAATGTCAACCGGTGACTTGGCCCATTGTGGAAGATCTTCTATGCTTCAACAATTATTTAATTGCGATTAACGTTAAAGTTCATAATGAAAGTTTAAGGAGTGAAAAATAAAAAGTATGGAATTTACGTGGTGGTCCTTTTTTTAAGGCAAATTTCACAAGACCTCACGCGAAAAGCCCAATAAACTTTAGGCGTCTTTGATTTGGAATTACAAAATTGGCATCCTTTCTCCAGCATTGCTAACTTGATATAGGTAATTTCATCGATCCCAATTGGCGGTGGTCTTGGCAGGTAGGTAATAAACTTTATTCTCGAGATCCTCCAGATATCCATTGTAATGTGTGAGGTAGTGGATTTCAACCAATTTCGAAATTGATTGTTAACTCCGGTGAGTGCAAAGAGAGAGGTAGGAGGAAGATGGTAGCATATTTCTATGAATATGTCGACGGGAAGATCGTAAAATGAAACGGGTTTACGTCGCAAGCTACTTAAGAAGATTTTAGGATGGTCCACATCTCTGGGGGCGTATAAGGAATCACCAAAGAGACGTATGTTGCAGAGGTCATTTGTGTCTTCAAATTCTGCACTTTTTGTGGGCGAGGACATCGTAGGTGATGGCGAGGACTTTTCTATCGGGGAGTTAGGATGCGGATCGCGTGGAATTTCTTCTATCGGAGGTTCACCTGAACGTCATTTCAAGAAATTGTTCGAAAGGGCATGCCATTCAAAAAAAAAAAAAAAAAAAAAAAATTAGATTTCAACGAAATCTGTAAAATTGTGATAAAGCTTTTTAATGTTACCGATGACAGGTTCATCAACCGGAAGCGATCCCGAGTTTGAGTCGGCTTCATTACCCGAATTGCTCGATTCCTCTAGATATCTCATTTCGTGTTGTTCATCATTACCAAAAATGTGCTCTTCGTATGTTGAAATGGGAGAGGAACCATGGCGTGAAATTTTAGGTGCGATCAAAACTTCCCAGGCCGAGTTCGTGTCAACCGTTAAGGAATCCGAGGTCATCTGTTGTGTAGTTGTGGAAGAAATCTCTAGAGGGATTTCAATTATTTCACTTGGAATGTCAAATTTCAGTGCATTTGACGAAATATCTTTGCAGATTGATTGCTGTGCTCGCAATAAAGAGTCTGAAGAAGATTCATCTAACGGTGATGCGACTTCTTCTTCGTCCCTAGGATTACATTCCGCGTGGTCTAATAACGAATCCTTCTCTTTTCTCTGATCATCGGGTACCTGTTGATTTTGTGTGCATACATCTGGTGAGTATGATTGAAGTTCGATCGAAGCGAGAGTCGGAAATTGTTGATTTTTGACATCATGTATTTTTTCATGAATTTCGTAAAGTTCAAATAGCGGAAATAGGAGATGAAATAATATGGTGATAACATATTTGAACACAAAAGAGTGGTGAAAAATCGTGACGATTGCTGACATGTTTTGAAAATTCGTGAAAAGGCAAATCGAGAAATGATGAGAAAATCGTTAGGTAAATGCGCGTGAAAAGGTGGTCGGTGTGATAGCAGGGGGGAGGAATAGTCAAAACAGTCACGAAAAAAAAATAAAAAATTTTAATCAAAAAAAGGAAAAAAAAAAAGAATGTAGATAGTTGACTTAAAGTTTGGATGTTTGAGTAAACATACATATATATATACGCTGCATACTAATTGTTATCCCAATTATAATTCCGGAAGCGAGCTTCTGTGTGAAATGTTCGGTGGTGTACCATTAGTGATAGGTACACGAATCTTTGATAGGTAGGTTTAATAGAGACTGTGACCAATAATAACAGTTGTGACAATTAAATCAAATGCCTTTTCGGAATAACAAACAATTTTGTATACCCATGATTTTCAATTGTTGTCGTTCATCCAAGTCACGAGAGTTCATGAGGTATCCACTGTACCAGTTGTTTCTCTTGCCGATAAACCCGATCGTATTTGAAGTAGGACTTACCGGACCAATCTGTCAAACGCTCCTCACAAATATCATGTTTATTCTGTTTGTTTACCCTTACAACCCAGATTCGATGGCATAGCTTATCAGAGTTTTTACATACTGTATACTGTATATGCGCAGATTTTCTTATCCCTCATATATACAGTAATATGGTGGCTGCTTTATGCCTCATATTTATTGAAATTTGGTATCAATGAATAATTTGTACAGTTTATTCGACAAAAAATTTGCTCCGAAATGGGTACACCTGTCACAAATCGTGTTCGATTAAAAGAACGATTTTAGCAAACTATTGAACGCGCAATTAGGTTCCATTTAATTTACAGTAACTCAACACCGAATGACACTGAATTGAGAAATGATTCGTATGGGAGATAGCCTTTTCGAAGGCTGACTGGGAGCTTTTAAGCCCGAGAATCAATCTACATTGTTTCGAGTTATGAACCCGAAAATTTCGTTTAACATTTCTGTCACCTACCCATCTACAACCATCGATAATAAAGGTTTGTCAAGTTTAGAAAACGTGAAGAAATGAGCATAAAAAAATCTTTTCATTATTTGAGAAACTTAATGAAATATAAAAATCTTATGCTATATACTGTATAGTGTAAAGTTTTCTTTCAAAATAAAATAATCCAAATAAATTAAAGAAAAATTGGATCAAAATGAAATAAAAAGTGAATCAATGATTAATGTACCGAGGCGGAGATTCGTGCTTAATAACAAAATAAGAACTCCCTCAAAACAAAAAATGTTTGTCCTTAGTCATGTAAGCTTTTTTTACTCACAAGTAGAAAGGGTCAATGCCACAGGTCCGCACGTACGACAGACTTATAACACGGTATATCTGCATAAATACTGCAAATTTTTGCTTTGCCTCATCACAAATTATTTAGTAACTTATAGGCGCGGCAGAGCACGTCAATAAAAAACTAGTTTGACTCCTGGGCTGTTTCATGGTGGCTTTCTAAATAAGAACTTTATTTTCCTTTGGATACCGTGTGACAATAGGGATAACTCAATTAGTTCGGAGAAAGGTGAGACGGTTAGTTACATTCAATGCATTTATTCTATAGACATACTGTATGCCATACGTATAAGGTTTGTGTGTTGCTTGCGCTTCTTTTCCTAATTTTCATTCTTTAGTCGCGGCATTTCAATTATCAATGTAATTTATTATCAATCAATATACAGTATGATTCAAAGATTGTTCGAATACGCAACATACGTACTGTATTTTATATGCTATAAGGTAGAATGACGCATTTGGTGGGCTAAATTTTTATAATTTCGGCCGGGATTATAATTGATCATCCTCTGAAACAGCATTCTCTTTTGTTTTTGTTTTAATAAAATTGATTTTACACCTTTTTTATAGAATATAATAAAGCAAATTCCTACTATTCCTTTTATTTGTTCCTTTCACTTTTCTCTATTAAAAATCATGCATAGTTTTTAAAGAAAAAGAGTAAACTTTCTTTTTTATTAAACTTTTAATATTAAGAAAGATACTTTGAAAAGAAAATATTTGCAACCTTTTTTTTAAATTTTTTTTGAAATTATTATAATTACTTAAAAATATCTTTTACATATAAAACTTTTTATCTTATCAATAATATCAGTTCTATATATTAAATAAACTTTTTTTTTTAATAATTAATTCTTCTTGCATTAAATCTTGCCAAATTTTAATAAACATTTATTATTATATTACCAATTGTTTTAAATAAAAAATTTTATGATTCACCTAATTTTTATAACTATTTAATTTTAATTAAAATATATTAAAGTTTTTAAGCTATAAATTATATAAAGTTTTATTTAATATTTAAATTTTTTTAAAAAAATTTTTTTTTTGATTTACAATTATATTAACATAATGTATCTTTATTGAAATATTAAATAAATATTTATATTATATTGATTATTATATATTAATTAACTTATTAATATTTATAGATCAAAAATTTATAAAAAACTCTTTTCGCTAATCCTTCTTTTTTTCAAAAATTTTCTTTTTTGATAATTTTCTTGAAAAAAGTAAAACAGTTCAAACACACAAGGAAAACAACATCTCCTTTGAATCAAGCT